TAGTAGAGAACCTTTGGGCAGACTCCTTAAATAGGTAATATAGAAAAGTTACACATGTAGCTAATTGTACTCTCTTCTGTAGTAGTTCATTAAATCACAATACTGATAAGTAATTAATAAAAGTTAAAAGATCAAAGAGGTTATCTTAATACCAAAAAAAAAACCAATAGAAGTTACTCTAATAAAATTTTGAGTTATTATAGAAAGGACACAAAGTGTATAGAGTACCAACTAGTCTTTTTCTATAAAATATAAATAGAATTTATAACTAAATAAATTTTATAATTAAATCAAATAAATATAATTGATTTAATTTATTTTGTAAAATAAAAAATCACTAATAAAAAATTTTAATAATAATAAAACTAAATTATTTTCTGAATTTTTTTTAAAAAATTTTCAACTATTAAAAAATAACAATAGTTTTGAAATCATTATCTTGATTTGCTTTTTTAAATATTAAAACTGCATATAATTATAAAACAATTACTATTGAATTTTTAGTAACAACAGTTTTCTTTTTTAACATTGAGACAGGGTTGGCAATGAAGCTCAATAGAGCCCAATAGAGCTGTAAATGGAACCAATAAAGCTCTGAATGGAGCCAATAGATACTAGTGTTTTGAGCTCTATTCGTGTAACTATTGAGCTCCATTGGCTCCATTGCCAACCCTGCATTGAGGTAAAATAATCCATTAATTATGTGTTTATAGCAGTACTGCTAAATTTTCTGTTACAACAAGCACAAATATTCTATTATCTAAATATAAAATAAAATTTTATCAACTATTAAATTATATTTTTATAAAGACTAATTTTAATCTATTCTAGCCTTTAATTAATAACAATTCATAAGTTTATTACCATGAATGCATTACTATATATTAATTTAAAATAATAGTATTATTTTTCATATCTAATGAAAAGTAATACATTTTGTTAAAACTGTTACATTATATATTCTCAATATGATTAATTAGTAACTCTGCGATCATATGATTTGAGATTTTGCATTCTTGTAATCTTTTGTGATTTTGTGGCTCTTCGATCTTGTGGTTCTGCAATCTTGTATCTTTTTGCAGCAAAAAGAGTGTTCGCAAAGGTTGCAGCTGATCCTAAGAAGGTGCAAAGTTGCGGCCTTGCAGCAGCCAACACTAAAAACCAGTGGCACCAGCGATTGACCAATTAGATTACAAGATCAGGTGTAACGTGGAATCTAAACTTTTTTTTTTTAAAAAAAAACAAAATTTCGTCTATGTAACTATCTTCTGCGCGTTAGTAAAAAAAAAATTCCTTGAAAAATTTAGTATAAGACAAGCATCGTTATGATTATAAAATTTACCCTAATGTAACGTTTTATGACTTTAAAAAAATTGTCGATCGTGAAAATCCATCGGGTAGTTGTGAAAACCTGGAAACACATTTAAATGATTTACTATGATTGGTTACAGGTTTTCACTCTTATGCACTCGAATTATAATTCTCATTTTATACCCCATTTTCATCTAAGCCTTTAGCCTTTAAACTTGTTCTTGAGGCGCAATCAAACCTTAATTTCGGAAATTCTTTTAGGTATGTCATTTTTACTCCGTGACAATTTTAATTTTATAATTTATTAAAATTTAATTGGATAAATTTCTAAATATTACAAAATTCACATGATAAACCTTTTGAATGCACCGGCTGACTTAGTTGACAAAGCCGGTTTAGTTGCGGCTGCCCTAGCTGGCTTGAAACACTAGTATGCTACGCATAGTTACACGCGCAAATAAAATTTTAGTGGCAATGATAATCTTTCGCCAGATTTTCGTTTCTAAAATCAGGAAGGTGCTTTTTTTTTATCGGTGATATATGGTATACTAGTCATTATAACCAATGTTGATTGGAGAATGTAAATAAATGCTTTTGATTGGCCAGAATTCGTCCAATAAAAACTGTGGGAAGAACTAATCGGCACTTATGTAACATACTTAATTTTCCGTAAACAAACTAAATTGTCTCTGGCATCCTAAAAATTCTCAAACAACCAATTTTAAGGGGACTTTTTACTAATTATTTTAGGGAAACAATAGACAGACTATCTGCCGATAAGGCCCTCGATCTTTGTCTGTTAAGCGTTAATGCTAAGGGATCATCGTTAATCACAATTGACTACTCCATGCCATTTACACAACGTTTTGCTAATTGCATCCAGATCTCCTAAACCAATATACAGTAATTAAACATGTACGATATTTACACAAACAAATACAAACGCTAACAAAGGAAGTTTTCTTCTCTACTTTTCCCTTCTTACCTTTCGAATAAAATATATACATTTCTTTCTTTTTTTCAATAAAACTTTTTATATTTGACGATAGGTATTCTTATTTGTATTTTTTTTTTTTTGGACATTCTAGTACGTAATCCTCTCGTTTCGTAACTTGACTTTATTATACAATTTTTTTTTTAATATATTACATAAAGAAGATATACATGTAAAAAGTAACTTATATTTGTAAACAAGTAAGCAATACCAAGAAAAAAACCAACCAGCATTATTAAAAAAGATAGATATATAAATTAAAGGTAAGCGGCCTTAAAACGTAAGTAGTTAATATTCCTGTCATAAGCAGGTGTCGGCGCGTTAACGATGACTACCTAACACATCTTTTTACACACGCAAATATTTCTGCAAATAAACGCATAATTTATTAAATTATTAAAACATAAACCAACTTCTAATATATTATTTGTTTTTTTATCATATATTGTCCATTTAGCGTATCCAACATAGTACTTTCAAAGAATATGAACGTATATCCAGAAAGCACGCCTTCTTCTCCGACTTCCACAACTTCCACCGCCACTACCACGAGTAGTAGCATTTCGAATAAATTTAGTGCACTGTCAATATCTTCAAAATCAAAACCGCAAGTTTCTTTAAAACAAAAAGTGTCTAGTTCAAAAAAGAAATTTTCTTTGTCGCATCGGAAGAAAACAGATACTACAAAGCTAAGTGTATCGCCTTCAGAACAGCCGTCACAGCGCCCAATCTCTTTGACTGCGAGTAAGGCTACTAAACCTCCAAAAGAAAAAACTACTATAAAAAGACCTGCGTCTACAACTGCTTTGCGTTCAAACTCTGTTAGAGCTTCTGCTGCCACTCTTTTTTCCAAAAAAAAATTACCTTTAATCGCTGACGACTCATCACCTTGCAATACTCCTACTCTTACTATAACTACTGATATGGTATCTGAACCTTCTTCATCATGTGAATCTTCTCCGCAAGCATCAAGTAAAGCAACTACTCCAACAATACGCTCCTCCTCAACCACTTCTTTATCGTCCGATCAAGCTATTGATGAAAATCATTTGGATATCACTGCGTTCCTTGCTGCACCACGTCTAACACAGCGTGTGAGATTAAGTTCGGGGAGAGTAGTTAGTTTTTCTGAAGTGGGGGATAGAACCGGTTTTCCAGTGTTTGTATTCCTGGGTATGGGTTGTGTTAGGTATTTTATTGCCTTTTTTGATGATTTGGCAACAAGTTACGGTTTGAGATTGATATGTCCTGATCGTCCTGGCATTGGACTCTCGGATGATGTAAAGTCTGATGATCAAGATGTGTTAAAATGGCCAGGTAAGAAATATTTTAGATAATTTGTAAAACTGTAGATCTAAATAAATACTAACTATATTTATTAATTTGTATTTATTTATATTGTAGATGTTATAAATGAACTTTGTGATATACTTGATATACCAAAATTTTTTATAATGGCACATAGTGCTGGTGCACCGTATGCTCTCGCTTGTGCTATCAAAATTCCTCATAAAATACAGGGTACCATATATCTTGTATGTCCCTGGGTTAGCACAACTGTGGCAAATAATTTCAAATGGTTAAGATTTGTTCCTACTCCTGTAATGAAATTCACAAATTCTGCTGGCATATCGTTACAACAAATTATGCATGGTCGTCAACCATATTCAACCAAACCTTCTTCACATCGAACTTCTGGTGCGTTGACTGCCCAAATGTCAAGTTTTGAGAAAAAGCAACAACTTGGTTTAGCAATTCTCAAAGCTTCCTTTGCTGAAAATTTATCTGGTGCAAATAATGATTTAGTAATGTGCTTTGAGCGGGGACGAGCTTTTGGGTTTTCCTATACTGATGTAGATCATCCTGTCCATGTTTTCCACGGAACAAAAGATGATCGAATTCCTGTAGCCGCAGTAAAGTGGATGGAAGATAATATGCCAGATTGTAGGTTAACTCTTATAGAAGGTGGAAAGCATTCACTATTTTTACGTGCTGAAGTTGTGGACACAATATTTAAGTCCATAGCAGCACAGCTTCATGTAAAGGATAAATGTAGATTGTGTATGATATCAACTAGATGTTGGCTAATGGAGGAAGTTGAAAACGAACGAAAGGAAAGGGAATTACAAATTCAAAGAAAAGTTGAGGCATCCTTTGCAAAGTTATCTCGATCTTCAAGCATAAAGACTGGAAATCAAAATTCTTCTACGGATAACCAAAGATCATCTGCGGACAGAGTACCGCAAACTAATGACAAATTACTTACTATATATACTTATTTTTAAATTTTTTTTTTTATTTTTCTAAATGGGATTTATTTATGTTTTGGATTGGGAATTTCTATATATATATTTTTATGCCAACATTTGTATACTATAGTTCTTCACATATTTTGTTTGTAATTTGCATTTTCAGATATATGGTCAATTTTGATTTTTTCATTTTTTCAAGGAACATTTACATTATGACAAAGGGTTTTATAAACCTTTGAAAAAAAAAACTTTTAAAAATCAACAACTTAATTTAAAATTCACAAAGGCGTGTTTTAATTATTCATAGCGGATAATAATAATGTATTAGCGGTACGAAGTCAAGTAGAATTAATGATTTTGGTATTAAAACTAAAATTTAAACAGTAATTATACGTATTTTATACTTTTATGCATTCTCATTTGAAAATGAGAAATGAAAAAAAAAAATAAATAAAAATGTCATTTTTACACGTATTTACAATGATCTTTATGCAATATTTAACAGTATGTAGAACAAGCAAAGATATTCGTTAATAAAAACTACTGACAATACCAACTGAACAAATAGAAAAATTAAAATTTATATCATAATATATAAATTATAGATATATAATAGTATAGTCGTAAAAGAATTTCAGAAATTTATTTATTCACAAGTTTCAGCATTACCACCAATCGAGAATGCAGTCATATGGTATTCCCCGACCTTATAATTCAGAAAATTTTGAATCCAAAAAACTTTTTTTCAATCCTTTATTTTTTTGGAGTATTATTTTTTTTTAGAGGAAAAACTTTCTTAATTTTTTCTAAAGACGAAACTACTACTATTAGACCCGAATAAATAGTTAAACATATTCTTAATAGCGGTACCGAAAACTTAATTGCAACATAATTTTTATGTAATTACGATCAACTAAAAATTCTCGTTCAAAGTTTTCAAGAATCTATGTTCGTCTTAATTATTAAAATTGATTAAATATTGATATTTCAATTTAAAAAATTTGGCCCGAATACTCATAACGTTACGTAGTAACCCAAATAGAGAATTACATTGACATTAACTGTAACCGTATCTAATGATTCATTAAATTTGTATAACCCGTTTCTTTTTTTTTTGATTATCGGCTGTGAACCGGAAGAACATAAATTACTGTACATTTATATTTGCCATCATTTAAAGGTCTAAGAAAGGCATCTTCGGAAGAACGTAAATTACGTGATAATTACTATTATTTGGAGGTCTAAAAAGAGCATCTTTTTGATTATTGGCTGTGATTTGGAAGAACATAAGTTACACTAATACCTATTGTCATTTGAAGGTCTAAAAAAGTAACTATGTAACGTTTGCCTGGAACTTTGACACATTGGAATATACTATATACTTGTCATTGTAAAGAAATATTCTTGTGGTTTACACAATTTGTAATTCAAATAAGTGATTATTTGGTTGCTTTTTTTTTTAAACTACAAGTTTTAATGTTAAATATACTCATATCTATACATATGTTACATTTTTCAAACAACTGCAAAAAATTACAATTAATTGACTACGTATTTTAATTGCAATAATTCGGTAGGCCTGATTCTAAAGAGAAACCGGATTAATAAATAATGATATCGAACAACTGTAAACATGAATTAAATTGTTTAAATGATATTGAATTATATTTCAAGTATACAAATTCTAATCAATAATATAAATTTAAACATTTCAAAGTTCATTATATCCAAAGAAGCCCGTTATAGTAAACTTTTACTGTAATTGGATTTATAAACGAATCTGACTTCATTCGTGAACCAAATTAACGAGTTAAATAATGGAAAGAACCATTCTGCCCACCTTTGTTATAGTGAACTTTTGATATAATTAAGAATTTTGAATTACGAAACTATAAAGTATATATAGCATTTTCTCGCTTTAAGTTGTAGTAGAACTTCGTTCTCTTGTATTTCTACATATGAGCCTTTATTTTTTTGTTGACATATGAATAACAAATGAATATATAAAGTTAACTTTCGTATAATGAACCAATCAAAATTTTTGGCTAGAATTTCTTAAAATTTTACTAATGAAATTACAGCCATCCACTAAGTGGAAGTTGTCTCAGAAATAAAAAATAAATTTTTATTATATTAGGATTAGAGTTAAGGTTTGAGATAAGGCAAAGACATAAAGTATATTTAAATTTTATAAAAATTATTTTTATTAGAACTTCAAAAGTAGTTTTATATACAAAATTTTTAAATAACAAAAAGGGTACAATATATTGCATATACAATAAATTATAAAATTTAATTTTAAATATAAAAACTTACAATAAGTTGATTAATTTTTTCTTTTTAATTTTTAAATTCAAAATGTTATAATAATAATTAAAAAAATTTATTCAAATATAATTATTTTAAAGAATAATATCTAAAAAAACTTTATTGAATTAGATAATAAAATAATTTGATGATATTGGGCCTCATAGTTTAGTTGTTAAGTTCTTATTTTCTTACAAACAAGGTTAACAATTCAAGTTTAACTAAAAGTAAAATATTTTATAATTAAAAATGAAGTCTATAATTTGATGCAAAGCCTAATAAAAGTCTAAGTAAAATTAGAAAAAATGGTTAAAAAATAAAAAGAAGTATACAACACAAAGGAGTAAATAGATAAGTTTTTGTACAAAAAACTAAAAAAAAATATAAAAAAGAAAGAATAAAAAAATATACAAAGAGAATTCAAAGCTGATACAGTTTAGAAATATTAGGCATAAGCTACACTTTAATAAAATAAACTGAAAAAACTACAAAAAATCTTCAGAATATTTGTGAAATTGGTTCTGAAAAAAGAAGAAATACTAAAGAAATAGAAAATAACACAAGTATGTCTAATTCTAAAAGATGTAAAATGAAAATATAATCTAAATAATATTAGACTAATAGCATTAATTAAGATATTTAGAAAAGTAATAACAAAAATAATAACAAAAAGATTAGTCAAAATATTCATAAAAAAAAAATACTTAAAGAGTTAAACTATACAGATTTATTAAACAGCTTAATAAAGCAATTAATATATATAATAAATATAATAATAGAAGAGATACAAGAAAAAAACAAAAAAGTATAAATACTTTTATAAGATATAAAAAAGCATTTAACTTAGTTTTATTGAAAAACTTAAAATACAGAGAGGTACTACAAGTTACTGAATGGTTTGTTCGTGCTGCAATAAAAATTTTTCTCACATATTAATTGTTAAAATTTTATCTCATATTAGAATGTGCAAGTTGATTTTATTCTATTTATATTAAAGAAAAAACCTGATTATGCATATTTTATTCAAAATTTGGATTAACAGATCACTGATTATTAAAAAATAGCTTTATGGATTAATAAAAAAAAAACCAGTTTTAATACAAATTTAAAAATAATACTATCAGAATAAGATCGACTTTGTGAATATGAATAATAATAATTTTTTGTTGATTTAGTTGTAAATAAAGTTTCAATGACTATTAATTTAAAAATTTTGTTCAATAACTTTATTACTAGATTATAGTTTTATTTTTGAAATTAGGTTAACATTTAAAATCACATTAATATTAAAAATTTCATAAAAAATATTTTTTATTAATGTGCAGTAAGGTATTATATAGAGCAAATTTTAAGTTACAACCATTTTTCAAAGTATTGAAATTTAATATTTTTTTTTATATCATGTCTTATTTTAAAATACAATATGTCTTTTATACAGTTATAAAGGCATATCTTCTTTATAAGCATACTAGTTTTAAAGCTTATACATATAAAACATACCTCTATACAGACATTATTTCTTATAAGCACAAAATTTCTTAGAACCAAGAATATAATTGAATGCATATATGCTCAATTGTAATATTTAATTATTCAAGACATGAAAAAAGCATTTAACTTAGTTTTATTTGAGAGTCTAAAACTAGTACTGCAAAGAATTAAAGTATCTAAAAGAACAATAAGATACATCCTAGATCTGTTTCATGAAAGACAACTAAAAATTATTACAGCTTATAGTCTAATAGAAAAGATAACAGTAGGAAATAACATAGATCAAGAAGAAGTAATATCTCTATTAATATAGTGACTTTTCTATGATCTACTATTAAAGAGAATACAAGAGGATAAAGATTTAGGATATATAATAGAACAACTGATCAAAAAAGAAATGCAATGCAACAATACTATAAAGTACTGCCAAGCAGCTATTGTATATGCAGATAACACAATATGGATTGCAAATAGTAAAAAATAGCTAATAGAAATATTAAAAATCATAGAAAAACTTTATAAAATGAATAATATAGAAATAAATAGATCCAAGTCAAAGCTGTTAATAATAAATATAAAAGTAAAAAAAAAAGAAAAAAAAATAATCTTTGAAGAAAGTAAGATAACAGAAGAAGCAAAGAACAAAATAGTTTGCTTACTAGAAATATGGCTAAATAATAGAATAAGTGAAGTGCTAGTCAAAAAGAAAGCTAAAAAAATAATCAACCAAATAATAAAAGATCTTAAATACAAAAAAATGATAATAAGTCAGATTGCATATATAAACAATATGATAATAATACTAAAATTAAGTTATATGTTCCTTGTAGCTGTGTAAATCTGTAGAACTAGGAAACTGAAGCCTACTTGGAAAGTTCCAAGTAAAGAGATAACACAGATCTTTGACAGTACTACTGTAAAGGCTAGATCTAGGAAATGGATACCAATGTGAAGAAGCTAGATGGGCAAAAACCTCAAGTGAGAGGTACTACCAACAGGTCATCAGAACTGAACTGGAGGAAAAGAATATTAGGCCAGCTTGTTATACCAAGGACAGATTACAGTTCTACTAGGCTATCTGAATTGGGAGTCTGAGATCAAAGTAGAGGTATACTACAAGTACTAGGGATATACTGTGAAGTAGGTGCTAGGGTTTAAATAAACTCTACAAGAGCTAGCTTTGTTAATGTTCCGTAGAGTAGATAAGTAGTTAACAAGAGGGTACTCCAGAACCT